TACTCTAGGATGAAGACAAGTGTCTTCTACATGCGCTTCGACCCCTCTTTTCACGCCATGTTGCTTTCCTCAACCGCCAAGCGAACTGCTTTTCCCGCCTTTCTCCAGATTCAAAATCTTCCGGGGTAGATAAAAAGTTTCCTTCTGGTCGAAGACCTTGGAGTCCCTTCATTCAAAGGGATTGAGAACCTTCTGGTTGAAGACTCATTTAATTTAGAATTTCTCTAAGTATTTTTACCTTCTGGTCGAAGGATCATTTTAACTTAGAATTTCTCTAAGTACTTTTCTACTTTGTCGAAGCTTTTCCAACTTAGACTTGTTCAATCTATTTTTGGACTATAAGGCCAACTTATTGTAGGTGTCGAATTTAGGAGCTAATAGTGAGTCAGATGGTGAATCTGATTCTGATCCATATTTTGATGTTGATCAAAAATCTGTTGGTGATCATGCTTCTAGAAGAGAAAAATCTGAAGCCGTAGGTTCTGGAGGACAAGCTTCTAAAGATGATCATGATTCTGGTGGAAATCATGACTCCAAGGATGGAGCTTTTGAAGAAAATTAAGCCTTTGACGATGATCATGATTCTGAAAGTGGAACTTCAGAAGGCAGCGGTGATCCAACTTTTGAAGATGGTATTTTAGAAGGTGAAGATGATTTTGACTATAACTTCGATGGTGATTCAGACTCTGGGAGTTTTCCAGACTCTGAAGACAGTCAAGGTTCTGGAGAAAGTCTATTTTCTGAAGTAAGAGCTTCTGAAGGGGAAAGTTCTGGTTTCTGAGATTCTGGAGTTCAATTTCAGAGGAAACAAAGAGTCAGAAGCATCCCAAGAAGATTTGTAGAGTTTGACATGTTGCAAGACACTGAAGTAGACTCCGAAGAAGAAGTTATTAAGTGTGAAATGTTAGTAGACTTTGAACCCTTGAATATGGAAGATGCTCTTAAGAAGAAAGTCTGGTTGCAGGGCCATGAAAGAAGAACTTGATGCTATAAAGAGAAACAAGACTTGGAAGTTGACAGAACTTCTAAAAGGCAAGAAAGCCATCAGCGTCAGATGGATTTTTAAACAGAAGCTAAGGCCATATGGATCAATTGGTAAACACAAAGCAAGATTAGTAGCAAGAGGTTTTCTACAGAAGTCTGGGTTGGATTACTCTGAAGTGTTTGCACTTGTAGCGAGACATGAAACAATCAGACTAGTGATTGCAATAGCTGCTAACAGGAATTGGCCTCTGATGCATTTAGATGTAAAATCTTCACTTCTGAATGGTACATTACAAGAAGAGGTATATGTGTCACAACCTCTTGGATTTGAGAAAAAGAATTAGGAAGGGATGGTGTTCAAATTACACAAAGCCTTGTATGGATTGAAGCAAGCACCCAGAGCCTGGAATCTGAAGAGTGGTTCATTTTTCAAGGAACAAGGGTTTCAGAAGTGTGAGATGGAGTATGGTGTTTATATTCATCACACTTCAGAAGGTAATATGATTTTGGTATGTTTGTATGTTGAAGACATATTGCTAACAGGAAGTTCTGAACAAGAGATAGCTAAGTTCAAGAAGGTTCTGATGAATGAGTTTGAGATGACATATCTTGGGAAAATGAGTTACTTTCTAGGGATGGAGTTTATGTACTCTGAGAAAGGAATCATTTTGCATCAGATGAAGTATGAACTTGAGCTTCTGAAGATATTTAAGTTGGAGAATTGCAAAGCTTCTATCACACCTACTGATACGAATCAGAAGTTGGACTCTGATTCTGATGGAGAGGATGTGGATGCTATAACCTTCAAACAATTGGTTGGTTCTCTGAGGTATTTGTGTAATACCATACCTGATATTGGCTATGCAGTTGGAACAATTAACATATTTATGAGTAAACCAAAGTAGTCTCATTACCAAGCTGCTGTCATGATTCTAAGGTATGTGAAGGGAACTCTGGAGTATGGAGTGTTATTTCCTTATGGAAGAAAGACCGAATCAGAACTTCTGAGTTATTCAGACTCTGATTGGTGTGGAGACAGAGTTGACAAAAGAAGTACTTCTGGATACTTATTCAAATTTCTGGGAGGTCCTATTTCTTGGTGTTCCAAGAAGCAATCTGTTGTTGTGCTGTCAACCTGTGAAATTGAATATATTGCAGGCGCTCTGATTGCATGCCAAACTGTGTGGATTCTGAACTTGCTGCAAGATTTGAAGATTGAGGTAAACAAACCTCTGAAGCTGATGATTGATAACAAGTTTGCAATCAATCTTGCCAAGAACCCAGTGTTGCATAGGAGAAACAAGCATATTTATATCAAGTATCACTTTATGAGGAATTAGGTCCAGCGTGGAATATTAGAAGTTGTGCACTATAGTATCCAAAAGCAGGTGACAAATGTTCTAACAAAGGCTATCAAGACTGATCAATTTCTTCGTTTGAGATGAAACTGGTGTTGTCAGTTCTGTGTAAATATAAATTAATGGATGATGTTGGAAATAATTTATATTTTAGGAATGTCTTATTGACTAAGTTTGTTAGAGGGTATTTTTGTAACGCCCGTAATTTAATTAATTATTTAATTAAATTATTTTTTTGGAATATTTGAGAAGTTGTGTTGTGATTAATTGGATTTATTTTATTAAGTGGAGAAATAATATATTAGAGGTATTATATTATTATATGGAGAAATAATATTGGAAGTGTAATATTATTTAATGTGGGCTTATTTTGAGAAAGTAGAAGTAATAAGGGGGTGCAGGTTTTAAACCCAATAAGGAATAATAGAATAATAGGGTTATTTTATTATTTGTTGGAATAGAATAGAAAGAAGGAAGCAGTAGAAAGAAATAAGGATTTGGAAGAGAACGTGAAGCTACTGGAAATAGTGGAAAACAACAAGAACGTGAATTCAACCCGGAAATTGTAGAGCGACCTTCAATCCAAGGTAAGGGTAGAGTTTTGACCTTATAATTGGGTTCATGATGATTGATATGTGGGGTTAGAGGGGACTGTTGTTTTGTTCTTGAATTGGATGTATATGATGATGTATGATGAAGATTTGATGAATTTTAGATGAATAATTATGTCATTATGTTGTTTGATCGATGTAGTAAAAAAGGATAATGTTAGGTGATGATTTATCATGATTATAATAAGGTTTGTAAGGTTAAGAATATGATTCCCGTAGTAAAAATGCAGAGGAAATCGTGAAATTATGCAGGAAGGGTCAGGATGTGTCGACCTCAAACTTGATGTGTCGATACATGAGGGTTGTAAGACTCAGGATGAGTCGATACAAAAGGGGATTGCATCGACACATGAAGGTTGCAAGACTCAGGATGAGTCGATCGGAGAGATGCATGTGTCGATACATGATGTTTATGAGACCAGGATGAGTCGATCCATAAGGAGGATGTGTCGACTCATGTTGTGCAGATGAAGCAGTATGCGTCGATCCAAAGGGTTTTGCGTCGACCCATAATGTCTGGTTTTTAACAGATTCAGTTTTAAAGTGCTGTAACTTGAATTTTAGGATGCCGTTTGAGATGCCGTTCGAAGCGTTGAATAGCTAACGCGATGACATTTATTCTAGATGATTAAAATGATGGATAAGAAGTGTAATCCTAGTAGCCAATTTAGGATTTAGAATTATTTCCCATGTTGGTCGTTGTGCTGACTTTTGAACAGAATGATGAATGTGAGATATTTAGAGACTGTTGTTTGAATTATGACAGTAGGATTAGTGACAGCAGCGATGTAAAATTGCAGAATAACAATATGGATTTAAGTAGTATTAATGTACAACTGAGTTGTTAGTGAGATCTTATTAACGAAGTTGTGTTTGATAATTTATGATGAATAAATGATGTTGGCGAATAAACGATGTTTAATGAATTATTTTGATGATATGAGATGTTGATGACGAGATGTTGAGATGCATTTGAGACGTTATTTTGAGATGTATTTTGAGATGTTAATTTGAGATGTTAATTTGAGATGTTTTGAAATGATTTTAGATGTCGTTGACTTGAGTGTTGTTATTATATTCATGGTTGAGTCGCATACGTTGCATTTTTGAGATGGAGCTTATGCTCGTTGAGATGGCCTGAATTGGCAAATTTTGAGATGAAGGTTATGCCTTGTTGATATCTCTATTAATTGGCAAATTTTTGAGATGAGAGTTCTGCTCCAATGGTACCACATACATTTGCATAGTATTGAGTCGCATTAGATGATTGTATAAAGAAGTGTATTTTGATGTTGATGGATGTCTACATGTGTTGTAATTGTTGTCGATTATGAGATGAGAAGTGGTGATGTTATTGATCTAATTTAATATATTAATTATCATGTGCTTTATTATATTGTTAGATATCTCACCCCTTCTGTTTGAATGTTGCCCTTATGTTGGTAACATGCAGGTAATCGAGAGTGAATGCTGTATACCTTCAATAGTTCGAGTCGGTGTCATTGCTCTGATATGTAACACTCGGGGGGATGAACGCTTGCTGATTTTTTATTGTTGATTTTCAGTTGTTGAATCTTAAATTGATTATTATTAAATATGTGATGTTTCGAAGTTGCTGTTTTGAGTTGTTAAAGATGTTATTAAGAATTCTGATGCGTAGATGTTGAATTATTTTATTTAAAGATGTTATGATGGTTCATCCGATGTTTTGAAAGTGTTATATATCCACGATGAATGCAATGAATTTCATAGAAGAATTTGTGACGTCCCGATTCGGTTGCATGTTTGAACTTATAACTCTGACTTATTTATATAATTGCTTGGGGTAGAATTAGAGTGTTACAATTTTAGTATTTTATTATACCATAATTTTGTGTATAAATAGCCTAATAGTAAGTCAATATAATTATTTATTACTCTTTATTTTGTAGTCGTCATCCAATATATTCATTTTGTCTTTCATCTCTCCTTTGTGCACCAACATATTCATCATCTCCCATGTTCTCATCATCATTACAACAACCACTCTTCTTTGTTCATTGTACTTATGGTAATCACTTTTCAAATTCACTTTACTTCTATTAGTAATATATTTTTCATTCAATTAATAAATTAGCAGTTATAGATTTGCCACACCCACACATAATCAATCACTTGCGGTGGATGACAACGATATTGTGATAGTAAATTAACGGAAGCATGGTAGCAACAAATTGTGTTAATATTTTTTCTTTTTACAGAAAAGTATTAGCAATAACAAATGCTTTTTTTTTTGTTTTTGTTATTGATGCAAGATGTATTTATTTATTTATTTTTAAAAAAGATGCAAAATATATGTATTTTTTTAAAATAATGAAATACTAGTGTCATAGTTTTAATCAAAAAATATAATTATTTTTTTAAGATTTAATCTCGATAGATCTCAGTGGAGATCTGTGGGAATGTGGATGGAGGAAAATATTTTCCCATAACGATGATTGAAGACAGGAATAAAGAATAATTTTGAGAGCAAAACGAAAAAATGAGAAGTATCTTCTAAATATTGCCTGGTTGACATCCCTAGATATTGCAATAGATATGTGCAATACATAAATTATCTTTGGCCAATAATATCCCATTTGATAATGTTAAAAAATGCCATTTCATTGTATTTGTTTGTTGAATCAACTGAACCCGTCTTATTATTAATTAATTAATATATAATATAATAATATATAAATAAATAAATTTCCTGATAAAACAATTACATTATAAATTAGTGTAATATAAATAAGGAAATGAATTGAAAAAGTGTTTAGTTAGTTAATAAAGATGAATGCATGGATTGCGAAAAGAATAGGAAAAAATCCACCGAATGAATTGCATTGCATTGCACATTTACACTCTCTTTCTCTTTTTGTTTTCTCACCCTTCGTCTCCGGAAATGGTGTTCTTCCAGTGATTCACAATTTCTCATCACTCTGACTTCTTTCCGTTTTCTTTCTTTCTCTCTATCTCCGATCAATCTTCTTGATTTCTTCCTCTTCTCCCGCACATCACTTTTCTTCAATTTTCCATTCACATTCCTTCATCTCAACGATTCCTCCATGATCGACGAAGGATGATCGCGCACACCGCGCACCGCGCACAAAACTCCGCTCCTCCATCATCCAAATTCCACTTCCGCATTTTGATTCTTTGATTTTCCGCGCCAAAAATCAGGTACATTGATTAATCCTGAAATCGATTAATCAATCCAAGTTCTTCTTAATCGATTTATGAATTTTGAATTATTGCTTAATTTCTCTTCAACAACCGTTCTCTCTGTAATTCTAAACCGTTTACTAATACTAATAGCTTCGTTGTTTGATTTGATGGATGAGTGAATGCAGATTATAAGGTCAAGTATTTCAAAAAAAATGTCAACTCATGGTAGTAATAATAATAATGCGGATTCGCCGAAAGCAGCACAATCGGTACAGATGCGGAGGGCGCCATCGAGAGGCACGGCGACGACGTTCTCGTTGGAGGTTTTCGATAACGAAGTCGTGCCTTCTTCGCTCGCTCCAATCTCTCCGATTCTCCGAGTCGCCAACGAGATCGAATCAGAGCGTCCTAGAGTTGCCTATCTATGTATGTGTATATGCGTACTCATGAATTAACTGTTTGATTTAAGGCTTGTTAATTGTTAAATTGTATTTTATGTATTCTTTCTGAAATGTAACTGTTTTTGTGAAAATGAAATTATGCAGGCAGGTTTTACGCATTCGAGAAAGCGCATAGGCTGGATCAAAGTTCCACCGGGCGTGGTGTTAGGCAGTTTAAGACGTTGTTGCTGCAACGATTGGAAAGGGTAAGTTTCGTTTCTTCCTTTCTCTTTTTTAATTTCAAACATTTTGAAATGTGACGGTGAGGGAAGGAATGCGTTGATTTAATTAATAACTGATTCACCATCAAGCTCGATCAGGTAAGGGAAGGAATGTAGTAGTTTGTTATAATTAACTATGCATAAACTATTCAATAAGAAATTAAAGCAAAAACAGATACTATAACTTCATGTGTAAGTTGATATATTTTTTTTCTTTCTAAGTCGACTTGCACCTTTATAATTAAAGAATATTTAGATGATTTTGAACAACTATCAACAAAATTGATTTAGGCCCCACGAATCTTAACTGGTTATTTATTTTGATACACTTTCTGAATTTATAGTGCCAACTTATATTGGCATAGGGTCAAAAATTGAACGGTGTAATGATAGAAAGACATGCATGGATGACCCGGTTAACACAATTTAAATTTGAAAGACTGATATCTCAATTTGAAACTTTTAGAGATTGTTTGTTTTTAAAATTAAAATTTTAATTCTAAAAAAGTTATTTCTGAAAATATTATTACTGTAATATTATTTTCATTTACATGTTTGATGAGTGGTTTCATTTCTTAAGAATATTTATAAAATATATTTATTTTAAAATATAAAATAAATAATAAATGAATTAAAATATTTGATAATTGAAAGTTATAAGTAGTTAATTCTTATTCACATAGGAATAAAAGATTTCCACTCTATAACATAAAAATAGAAAATGATAAAACTATATGTAACATAAGTTTATGAAAATAAAAATTCTTAAACATAATTTTTTATAACTTAAAACAAACATTGATATAAAAAATATTTCAATCTATATTTCTGAAAATAAATTCACAATCCATACAACAAACACTCCCTTGTTAATGTGTATTTTTTAAAATATCAATTGTTTGTCAAGGTCTTTTGTCAACAAAAAAGAAAAGGTATGTGTCAAGGTCTATACAAAAACATTTTGGATCCTGTAATAACATCATGGATAGACATAGAATTTGGGGGGAGAAAGAACTGATAACTTTTTTTTTTGGTTGAAGAACTTATAACTTCAAAAAACAATTTTTTTAATAGAGAAATTATTAATGTATTTTTTTTTCTAAAAATTATTAGTATAGAAGGACAAAAGTACTTATTGTTAACATATTTTTAATTTTTAAAATATTATAATAATATAAATTATATTGCACTAATTATATTTAAATCCTCTAAAACTCCTGATCTAATATGATTTTTTAATTTCTAAATTAAGAGGTTTTAATTTCTTAATAAAAATAAATCTCAAAAAACAGTAACTTTTATTTTTTTTCAAAGCTATCATCTCTGTTCCTTTCGTTTTTCCCCAAACTCCAAAACAAAACTATTGTTTGGATATTTTAAAATTGAATGTAATAAAAAATGGCATTTGTCCAAATTGGATAGAACAAAAATGAAGATAAATAATATAATTGAATATAACTTATCTTTTGTATTTTAAAATAAATGTTGTTTTAATAAATAAATTTTGTTTTAAAACAATTGTTATTTTTTATTTTTTAATATAATAAATGATTGCGTTTTTAATTTTTATTCTATACACTATTTTCAATTACATCTAATATTAATAGAGTTAATTTTGTAAAAGTATAATTATTTATAACAATATTATTATATTTTTTGATTTGTATGTAAAAAGTTTAAAACACGTTTAAAAGAGAGAGACTATTATCCTAAATAGTACTATTATTTTATTCCACTTATTCCATCCAACTCCATCCATTCAAATATCTTCAAACATATTGTTAGGAATATCTTCAGACACATTGTCAGGAATATCTTTTGGGTGCGACTAAGACACAAAGCAACATATTTCCGTCCTTGTTTTATTTTGGAAGGCGCATTTTTCTTCTTTTCCGTTCTGGCGTCTTCCCTTCAAAGCATTTCACTCTCCCCGTTTCCCTGCATTACTCCCATCGCACATTCACCTCAGAAGTTGATTTCGATTCTCAATGCCTTGCTTCGTCTTCCTACAACGATGGTTGCAGGAACTCTATCGGGTTCTACGAAAATTCTTATTATAGCAGATAGGGGAGCAGATTCCGAAATTATTTGCTCTCTTCCTATCAACTGATATTATTATAGTCGAGGAAAATATAAGCAAAATGTAATTTGCGGGGAAGTATTTACTTTTTCTTGATTTTTTAATTTTATTTACATTTTCAAACATGGAAAATGAGTTTGTAAAGAGAAGCAGCGATTAATTATTATGCATGGTTAAACTTGCATAATTTGTGGAACATCAGGACAATGCAACTAGTCTTGCCTCTCGAGTTAAGAAGACAGATGCAAGGGAAATCCAGGCTTATTATCAACAATACTATCAACAATATGTCAGAGCTCTTGACCAAGCGGATCAAGCAGACAGGTAAATACTAAATACTACTCCTCTATAATTTCCTTTTAGAGTTGTTAGGAATTGGGATACTGTGTTACATCTTAATCATTTTACAGGACCCAGCTCAGCAAAGCTTACCAGACTGCTGGGGTGCTCTTTGAAGTGCTTTGTGCTGTTAATAAGACTGAGAAGGTCGAAGAAGTAGCTCCTGAGGTTAGTCTCTCTATTCATATCCTTTCACGTTTTTTTTTTTTACATTTAGTATTTTAACATTTCCTTAGTATAATCTGGAGGCATTGTTTGTGTTTGTAGATTATGGCAGCTGCTAGAGATGTCCAGGAAAAGACGGAGATTTATACACCTTATAATATTCTTCCTCTGGATTCTGCTGGTGCTTCTCTGCCCATTATGCAGTTTGAAGAGGTGTTCTTGAGTGACTAATGTTGAATCTTTGTATTTTTTTTTAAAACTTGATATAGCACTGAGTTTGAACTGCTCTTATGCTATTAGATTAGGGCTGCTGTTTCTGCGCTCTGGAACATTCGTGGCTTGAACTGGCCTAACTCATTTGAGCAACCGAGGCAGAGAGGTGCAGATTTAGACATGCTTGATTGGCTCAGAGCAATGTTTGGTTTCCAGGCATGTATTTTGTACACAGAATATGAGAGGAAAAAGATTTGTTACTGATCAAATTTTTGTATACCCCCTTTCAATTGTTAATGTATTTGATTTATTTGAGCACAGAAGGACAGCGTGAGGAATCAAAGAGAACATTTGATTCTGCTTCTTGCTAACTCTCACATAAGGCTACACCCAAAACCCGAGCCTTTTAACAAGGTGCATAACTGTTTCCTACTTTCTTTGTTTCTGGAAAAAACAAAACCGAAACTATAATCAAAAGAATTCTAGTCGGTAATGGAATTCACCTGTTCACTTTCTCTGCTTTCTTTTTGATTTTATCATTCCAGCTCGATGACCGTGCTGTTGATTCTCTGACGAAAGATCTCTTTAAGAATTACAAAACATGGTGCAAATTCTTGGGACGAAAGCATAGTTTGCGGTGAGATATAGCAATATCAGCATCAGTGAACATTTTTGCTTTAGAATTTAATGAATAAAACCTGAAATTGTTTATGGTAAAAAGTGCTTATGGTCTTCTGTTGCATAGACTGCCTCAAGGTCAACCAGACATACAGCAGAGGAAGTTGCTTTATATGGGCTTGTATCTTCTCATTTGGGGTGAAGCATCCAATGTCCGCTTCATGCCAGAGTGTGTATGCTACATATTTCACAATGTGAGTACAAATATACCATACGTTATATCTTCTGCCGTTATATCTTTACAAATGTAATAATTTGTCTTCTTTAATTTCTATAAATTTGTTAGTTTTTTTGTGCATTTGCTAACAATGGCCAAGTATGACATCAGATGGCATATGAACTGCATGGTTTATTGGCTGGAAATGTCAGCATTGTCACTGGGGAAAATATCAAGCCTTCTTATGGCGGAGATGACGAGGCATTCCTACGAAAGGTTATCACACCCATATACCGAGTAATTGAAAAGGTGTGAATTTGTCTCCCATGGACATTGCTGTAATTTCTCAAGCACCTATGTTCCCTGTCATGACTTGCAAATTTTTAATAACCATGTTTTGATCAATCCAGGAAGCTAAGAAGAGCAGAAATGGAAAGGCTTCACACTCAGCATGGTGCAACTATGATGATCTAAATGAGTATTTCTGGTTTGTTTTCCTTCAGGATTTTATTACTGAAATTGATTTGGTTTGTTTCATCATTCATTACTTGACTATTTTTTTGTTGTTGCTGCAGGTCACTTGATTGCTTTTCTCTTGGATGGCCCATGCGTGATGATGGCGATTTTTTTAAATCCAGTAGTGAATTGACACAGGTTATATTTTAAGAAGTTACTAGAATGATTTTAATTCCTTTAGTTTTAGTACTTATATAAATTCCATATCAGGGAAGAAAGGGTGCGCCAAGAAAACCCAGGAAACTTGGAAAATCAAATTTTATTGAAACACGGACATTTTGGCACATCTTCCGCAGTTTTGATCGTCTTTGGACCTTTTTTTTGCTGGGTTTGCAGGTATTTGTGTAGTAAAGGAAATGCTTAAGTCAACATTTCCCCTTATTGTGGTTATGACAAGTCTTGAGAATTCTAATTACAGGTGATGTTCATTATTGCATGGGATGGGATTTCACTGATGGATATCTTTCAGAAGAATGTTATGTATAAACTGTCTAGTATATTCATCACAGCATCCATTCTGCGATTACTTCAAAGTATGAAACATTCACTTAAGTGCTCTTGTTAAACTTACCGATCAATCAATTAATGCCCATAAGTTTTGTAATGAAAGTTTTTAGCATTAGTTTTTTACTCTTGTCAATCTGTTTTCCAAATTTGAATCTTGCTACAACTTATAATGTTTCTAGCTTAACATTAAGGATAGGCTATTATTTTCTATAATGTTTTACCTTTTCTTTTTTATGTGTTATTGAAGTATGTATGTATCACTGTCCTGATTTTTTCTCTCTCTTGCTTGTTCCTATATATTTGCTTTAATTTCTGTTCCTCTTTCAATAATTTAGGTATCCTGGACCTGGCCCTAAACTTTCCAGGCTATCATCGATGGAAATTCACCGATGTGCTTAGAAATATTCTTAAAGTCATTATCGGTTCTATTTGGGTTATCATTCTTCCAATTTTCTACGTAAGTTCTTACAAGGGTGCGCCTCAGGGTCTCAAGGAATTGCTTTCTTTTTTCAAGCAAATAAAAGGCATTCCGGCAATGTACATGATGGCAGTTGCATTGTATATGCTACCAAATTTATTAGCAGCTGCTCTCTTTCTTTTCCCAATGCTAAGGCGTTGGATTGAAAATTCAGACTGGCACATAGTTAGATTCTTCTTATGGTGGTCTCAGGTAGTCATGTTTTCTGTTCTCTTAAATATTAAGTGTTTCTCTTCATGGTTTAAATTGAAACTATTCTGCTGGTGATAAGTGGTTTTCAACGTAATTGATTGTTATGTTGGAAGTAGTGCAAATTGGCACATGTGCCCAAATGTCCGGGGAACAGTTTTTAATTTATTTTTGCTTAAATGGAAGGAAAAGATGTGATATCTGTCATCTTAAGAGCTTATAGATAATATTAATAAGGACTTTTGTAGCGATAATGATCCTTGACAACTGGTTAATATGTATTGGCATACATATACTTACACAGTATTTAGTTGTTATTGGTATTGAAGAACTATGTTTGATGTTTTTTTCTTCTGTCATTCCCTAAGATATCTGACCCTACCGTGTATTTCTATGTATTGTAAGTTTTATCGCTCCTATAACTAAATTATAACTATCCATTGTGTAGATCATTGGTATCAAATTTTGAACACCAACACAGTTTAAGAATATAATCAGATAGTTTATACTTTCATATATTTGGGAAGATTATATTACATTAGTTATTATTTTTACCATTTACTAAATAACAGTTTTGGATTTATATAAAACTTTACGGTTGTGATCTACTTGGTAGGAGATTTCAATCCAATGATTGATTCAGTGAAAATGTCAATAAATAAAAGGTCATTAAACGAATTTATTTAAAGCATTATTATTGCACCTCTGCTCTAATAATTTACCGTGTATAGTCAAAGGTTTTCTTCCAGTTGCTTGGGAACCCATCTTAAGGAGTTTTTTGTGAAAACAAATATAGTTGATCAGTTTCTATAAATTTTGTTAATATTATCCATGATAAATCTTTCTGCTATGGTACCTCTTGATGAAAATGCTTAAGTTTGAGCTTTTATGATCTAAGTTACAGTTTTCCCATGAAACTGATTATTCATTAACAATCATGATATCATGGTTTTTTACATTCTCGACAACCTTTATGGTCCTCCAAAAAGTCTGATTTGTTGCACTAAATTTTGCCTCAAGCCATTTTTTTTTCTCTCCATATTTTTTTGAACGTGTGAATGAGTTATTGACAGTTTGTCTTTTGATAATTTCTGTTTTCTGAAAAATGTACTTTCTCTTTTCCAACGATTTGGGTTTTTGAGTATCACTCGTCCATTGACTAACTGATCATTTCTCTTCATTGCAGCCAAGAATATATATTGGAAGAGGAATGCATGAAAGTCAATTTGTTCTCCTAAAGTAGGATACACACAACACACTGTTCCTGAAGTAATTTATGCTAGTTGCCATTGTTGTATGAAAAGTGTTCCATCATCTTTATTCTTTTATGAATTTCAGGTATACTATTTTCTGGGTGTTGCTTTTGGCTTCAAAGTTTTTATTCAGCTTTTATGTTCAGGTAAATTTATAAATGCAATCACTGTTACTTGCATAACAAGATAGCCTTGTGAAGTTGTTGGTCCTCTTTTTAAGTGTTGCATTTATTTTCAGATAAAGCCTCTAGTTAAGCCAACCAAGGACATAATGAACATTCAACATGTTGACTATGCTTGGCATGAGTTTTTCCCCAAAGGTAATTTCTTCTTGTTTTTATTGAAGACTTTGCAACTTGTGGTTATTAATCTAATATTTTCCACTCTGTGCAGCTGAAAACAACTATTGTGCAGTTATTGCACTATGGGCTCCTGTACTTATGGTTTGTATGTTATATATCCTGGTTACATGTATTAATCTTTTCACTTGTTCAGACATAATCAGTATGTCATGTCATTTTCAATACAGGTCTATTTCATGGACACTCAAATTTGGTATGCAATCTTCTCAACTTTGTACGGTGGCCTTGTTGGAGCCTTTGATCGTCTAGGAGAGGTCCTCACCTGTTTTTTCTTATTTTAAATTAATTTGAGATTCATTGATTATCTTCTTGATTTTTCTTTTAAAAACTTGTCAAACATACACACAAGCAGAAACTCAAACATTCAGTTAAGAAATTTATAGGACCCATTTGGATACAAACTGTTGGACAATCATTTGCTTATTATGTTTTTATGAAATTATGAAATCCTCAATTTTTAAAGAATCTTGGACTTTGTCATTTTTCAGGGGAACTTCATATTGGATTGAATTATGAATTAGAAAAACAAGTACTTTAGTTTACAATTGTTTAATAGTCAGTTATCTATTTGCTTGCACAGATACGCACACTGGGCATGCTGAGGTCACGGTTTCAGTCAATTCCTGGTGTATTCAACACATGTTTGGTTCCTTCTAATAAGAAAAAAGGAAGATTCTCCTTCTCAAAGCAATTTTCTGAGGTTCTTGCTTACCACATTTTCATTGCTACGTACATTAAGATGATTATTTATTCATCTTCATTTTAGTTCCCATGCTTGTGTAGAATTCTGCAAGCAGAAGAAGTGAAGCTGCCAAATTTGCCCAGTTGTGGAATGAAATTATTTGCAGTTTTCGTGAGGAAGATCTCATAAGTGATAGGAAAGACCTCAAACACAAACTCTTAAATTTTTTCCCCTTTGTTTTCAATCATAGCTTCTAGTCTTTTTCCTCCGTCTTGATCCTGTCTAAACCCTGTTTAGGACTAAACTATGTTTGCATGACTTCAGGGAGATGGATCTTTTGCTGGTTCCTTACACATTGGGTCCTGACCTCAAAATAATTCAGTGGCCACCATTTTTGCTTGCAAGCAAGGTCAATGAGATTCAATTTTAATATTATGCTTATCAGTGGATCATACGATGACCGTGTCAACCTTTACAGATTCCTGTGGCACTGGATATGGCAACTCAATTTCGAGGAAGGGACTCTCATCTTTGGAGCCGCATATGTGCAGATGAATATATGAAATGTGCTGTGATTGAATGCTATGAATCTTTTAAACAAATTCTACACGATTTAGTGATAGGAGAAACTGAAAAAAGGTATATCATTTTGGGGTGGGTCAATTTTACTTTACACTTGTTGCTAAAAGCTTTTAGGATTTGAAATAGTAGCAACCATTTTTTGTGTGGTGTGAGTTAGACCCTGTTCCAATGATATTGTCCTTCTTAGATATGTTCTTGGAAGAAGACAGCTCTCGCAGTCTATCAGTTTTCATGAATAGCAATTACACTATTATTTTCTTCCTTTTTCAATAAATCTATACTTTAAATCCCTTTCTGGGTTATTTGACAACATAAAGTTAATAAATGAAGAGGACTAAATGGTTAACTTGCTTAATCAATATTAGTTTGACCCACATTAATTCAAAAATTTACACTGCATTGCAAAGATCATTAAATATTCCTTGTTCGGTATATGTTGTTTTTCATAAATGGCACTTATAATTGAGGCTTTAATTTAAATAAAATTGAGTCATTATCAGTACTTCTGAACTTGTTATGATGGACCAGGATAATTTCAATCATTGTTAAAGAAGTAGAGAGCAACATGTCAAAGAACACTCTTACCATAAATTTCCGGATGGGCTTTTTACCCTCCCTTTGCAAGAAGTTTGTGGAGCTTGTGGAACTTTTAGTGAGTCTTCAGAAGAAAACTAACTATATCTGTAGTTTGTATTCTTGACTGGTTCTTGCCTTTAACCATTCCATTTGGAAACTTGAGCATTCCTTTTTGTCTCAGAAAGATGCAGATCCATCCAAAGGAGGTATAGTGGTGGTCTTGCTTCAAGACATGTTAGAAGTGGTTACTGATATGGTGGTGAATGAAATCAGGTTAGTTTGACATAGCGACACTGAACTTGGAATATATTATATATTAATAATATGATAGCCTGGATGGATCTTTGTTAGAAAATAATAATGGTTGCCTTTTCTTGTCACGTTCATCAGTGAATTGGCAGAACTTAATCAAATTAGTAAGGATACTGGAGCGCAAGTTTTTGCTGGTACTGAGGCAATGCCTGCTATAGTATTCCCTCCTGTGGTTACAGCACAATGGGAGGAACAGGTACTTCCTCAGTATTGTAATTTTAATTCAAATTTTTTCGTTTATATTATTATTCAACAATCCAAGTGTCTATAACCAATGAATTTTTTTGGTTGTTCCAGCTAAGACGTCTTTATCTACTCCTGACGGTGAAAGAATCAGCCGTTGATGTTCCAACAAACAGTGAAGTACGCAGAAGGATTGCATTCTTTACAAATTCATTGTTCATGGATATGCCACGTGCTCCCCGTGTTCGTAAAATGCTCTCATTCAGGTTTGGTACAGCTCCTTGGTTCACAGCCATGAACATAACATGCCATAATGCATGTTATCCTTTCTAGAAAATATAAACTGCAGGACTGTAATTTTATTTGTACACTAAGTTATATCCATCAGTGTTTGATTTTTTTCTCTTTAGATTCTTTCACTTGTAATTTTATTAGACACAATACTTTTTTATTTTTTATTTTTTTGTCAAGGATTTTCTTATGCGGAAGTTTCAAAATGTGATGTATTAAGAAGCTGTCCTGTGCATATTATGAATAACCCTTTTCTTCTTTTCTTCTTTTCAGCGTCCTAACTCCATACTACAGTGAAGAGACTGTGTATTCTAAGAATGACATTGAGGTTGAAAATGAAGACGGTGTGTCAATCATATATTATTTGCAAAAGATCTTCCCTGGTTTGTATTAACTCACACAGCATAGCTTTATTGACTATATGTATAATGACAATATAGAACGGACTGGCTGAAATTTAGTAATTTTCCAGATGAATGGAATAACTTCATGGAGCGACTTGATTGTAAGAAAGATAGCGAAATATGGGAAAAAGACGAAAATATATTACAACTACGTCACTGGGCCTCATTAAGAGGACAAACTCTTTGCAGGACAGGTATATGATGACTCCCTTTCCCCGCCCCTCTGGCTGGATTTGGTCGATTTATATTCTTACTCTTACTTACAAATTAATGTAGTTAGGGGAATAATGTACTACCGGAGGGCATTAAAGCTCCAGGCATTTCTTGATATGGCTAGTGAAAAAGGTAAGACTAAGTTGCTTTTATTCTACGAGATTTTTAGCTAAATGTCAGGGTACCATGGAAGGCATCTGATTTATAGTTTTTTTGCAAACCTTGGGGCCTTTGTATTTTCTTTTTTGTACACACCTTCAACAAACGTTTTCTTGCTTATCTGCAATCCAGTAAAAAGACCTGTTGTATTCATCATTATGGCTCAAAAGGATAGTTATCTATGAAGCCCGGACTCGGACACGGACACGGGATACGACACAGACACGGACACGAGGATTCCGCTAATGTAAAAAACATAGGACACAGACACGGGATACAACACGGACACGGACACGAGGATTCCGCTAATGTAAAAAACATAGGACACGGACACGGCTATATATATTTTATATATTAATATAATAACGCAATTTATGAGTACAATTTATAAAGAGTTCAAAATGAGAAGCAAATTTTTTGTTTATTTAAACTTAATACTTTCAATAAAAAAAACATAAATCCATCGAAACAAAATGATACAAATCATATCATAGTCATTCCATATTGAGAAAACCAGCCTCTAAATCCAAAGACAAATTAAAAACTTCAAGAAATCCACTGTCATTTAATGATCCAAACTCATCTCCAGCAATATCCCACAAAAAATTATATGTAGAAGCATTCAATCGATAAAGATAATTAGCAGAATGTATAGCAAAATGTTTACTTAATATTTTCTGTTCTAAATTTCTAATTAGCAATTCTTTGAATCTAAATTTCTAATTACTTAATACTTAACACGTGGTGATGCCGTGGAAGAAAATACACAGTGTCTCTCGATGAAAGAAAATATGCACATATAAACAAGGAATCCTAATTGTATAATTGTGTTGATTTTATATGGTAAAGAATCCTATTTTTGAGTTGGGCTTTTTAAAAAAAAAACAAAATCTGAATGTTTTGTTGAGCCGTGTCCTATATTTAAAACAAAGTGTCGTACGCATGTCCGTTCCGATTTAATTTTTTTCTTCTGTCGGACACTTCAAAAACGTGTCAGTTACGTGTTGTACGAGTATCCGTGTCAGACACGTGTCTGACACACCACCACGCCGTGTGAATGGCTTGTCGGCGCTTCATAGGTAGTTGTTTTCCAAGATGATTGCTTTCTTTTTTTTGTTTTTGTGCAGAGATCCTCAATGGATATAAAGCTATTACACTTCCATCTGAGGAAGACAAGAAGAGCCAGAGGTCCCTATATGCCAATTTAGAGGCTATGGCTGACATGAAATTCACATATGTAGCTACCTGTCAGAATTATGGGAATCAGAAGCGTAGCGGAGACCGCCGTGCAACAGATATTTTGAATTTGATGGTTAAGTATGTTCTTCTGTTAAATTAATTTATATATTTCAAGTCAATGTAGATTGGACTTTTAGTTTCCCGTGTTCACTTGATTGATGAATCTAATTTTTAGTTCTCTATTTATAGCAATCCCTCACTCCGTGTTGCATATATTGACGAAGTTGAAGAAAGAGAAGGTGGAAAAGTGCAAAAAGTTTATTATTCTGTATTGATCAAAGCAGTGGACAATCGCGACCAAGTAAATGCATTTTGATGTCCGATAAGTAGTTAATACCTAATTACTGCCTTAGAAATAATTGATTTTCTATCTTCTCTGAAGGAAATATTTCGAATAAAACTTCCGGGTCCAGCAAAAGTAGGAGAAGGAAAGCCTGAAAACCAGAATCATGCACTTATTTTTACTAGAGGGGAAGCCCTTCAGACAATCGACATGAACCAGGTAAAATATATATATTAAAGCCGTATCAAGTTGACTGATCCAAAAAAAAAAGTTGACAAAGGATGTCAGTGCAAATAGAGATGATGTATTTGAAAAAAAATTCTAGGACAATTACTTGGAAGAAGCATTAAAAATGCGCAACCTTCTGGAAGAGTTTAATGAGGATCATGGAGTGCGCTCGCCTACCATATTAGGTGTTCGTGAGCATATCTTTACTGGCAGGTTATGATTTTTTTCTTCCTAGAGCTAACACTGTCAAGTTTAGATCCTATATTACTTAATTTTATCACTTGTTACAGTGTCTCTTCCTTGGCTTGGTTTATGTCAAATCAAGAAACTAGCTTTGTCACAATTGGTCAAAGAGTCCTTGCAAGACCGTTAAAGTAAGCTTTTGTTGGTTTTCTCTGTTTTTATTACACGGTTGACCATGCAGTGCTTGTTTATCTTGTATGTTAAACTAGGAACCACCTGAGAAACACTTGGCTAATATAAGACCTCTGCCCAAATTAAAGCAGTGTTTTCAAAATTAGTGTGGTGCATGCTGGATGTTTAAAATTCAAAACTTGTTTCAAAGGCTTACATAATATTCAATTTCAAATCGTAGCTGTTCTAGCTTCTCTTGCTGATGATTTTCTTACTTTCTTCCCCTCCCGATTTTCTTCTTCAAGTGTCATCTCCCCTGCTATTAAACTTTTTTGGTGACAATAATCAGTTAACTATTATTAGGCTTTTCTTTTGCTATCCTCAGCCATTTTTGCGATAAAAACTGTATATAATCAAATTACGTATTTCTGGCTTATGAACTATGATAGTTTTTTTTCAATTGTAGGGTTCGGTTTCACTATGGTCACCCGGATGTTTTTGATAGAATTTTCCATTTAACCCGTGGAGGAATCAGCAAGGCTTCTTGTGGCATCAATCTGAGCGAGGATATATTTGCTGGTAATATTCTTGGTAAATATTTTTAGCATTGATATTGGATAGTTATTTCTCTGCATCACATGCCTTTTCTTATTCAGGATTCAACTCAACACTAAGGCGTGGGAATATTACTCATCATGAGTATATCCAAATTGGAAAGGGTAGGGATGTCGGGGCTCAATCAAATCTCTCTTTTTGAAGCAAAAGTGGCATGTGGTAATGGAGAGCAGGTACTAAGCAGGGATATCTACCGGTTGGGGCATCGATTTGACTTTTTCCGCATGCTATCATTTTACTTTACAACTGTTGGATTTTATGTCAGCTCAATGGTAAGCAATACTTGTTTGTGAATCTTTTTTTTAGCAATAACCATGTTTTAAAATTTAAATGGATGCGCCATATGAGATGGCACATGCATTGTCTTGATTGTGAGGATGCGCCATCTCATACGACGCTTAGTGAGAGGCACACCACTTATCCACCTAAAATCTTAAGGTGATAGGTGAATGAGTTCTCTCACTTATATATGCTTAAGTCTCCACATTCCTATCCAATGTGAGACTATTTTCCCACTTACTCACACTTGCTATATTATTCCAATACATGCGCCATATGAGATGACATGTACACTTAAGCTATTTATGAAACCTGGTTATTTGCGTAAATTTTTTTGAAAGTGGGTTATTGATGTATTTTAATTTTCAAATATGGTTATTCCTGAAAAAATTTCCTTGTTTGTTGCTGAAATTTAACCTAATGGGTGTTTAAATTAAAAATAAGAGTAATGGGTATGAAATTATTTTTGATTCCTTAAACATTAAGATGACCCCCTAATTTGTGAGTTTGCCCAGGCTTTTTGATTGAATTAGCCTCTAATTTGTGAGTTTTCCCGGCTTTTTGCATTGAATTAGCCTCTAATTTGTGAGTTTGCCCCGGCTTTTTGATTGAATTACCTAGGAGTTTTGTTCTCTTAGGGTTACATATTTTTGTTATAAAAAACTTCAAACTAAAAATTTATTTAAATAGTTTTTTAATGTTATTTTATGTATTTTATCATTTTTATTATAATTTTTTTTAAATATTAAAATTTCAAAAAGTAACTTAAATTTAAAGCTATTTTGAATAGCTTTTCATAAAAATTATTTTTGAGACACATTTGTTTTGAAAATCTTAGTGATTTTAACTATGTTTTAAACTTCAATAATATATATTTATGTTACTAATGTCAAAATTAGTCTTTTAATTTATAAAACGTGAGTTTGAAAAAAGTGTTAGTATTTAATAAAAAATTATAAAAATCATTTTTGAAAACACGAATAAATTTTTTTTTTTGAAGTTAAAACAAACGGGTCCTATACCTTTGAGATTCAAGTCTTGTGAATTAAAAAAAGGTCTTAGGAGAGCTTAATCTCCTTCAAGTGAGTGCATCTAACTTGACTTAGATTAGACAGAATCTAAAGTAACTTCGAAATATGGAGGGTCTAAGGCAAAAAAGAAAACAACATTAAGAGTTGACAATTTCTTGATCGAAGCTTTATAATGACTTGGTTTCATTTTTCAGATTTTATCTTTTTGTTCTTACTAGCTGTATGCATCTAGCACTAAAACTTTCTTTTCTGTTCACAGTTAGTGGTCATCACGGTTTATGCTTTCTTATATGGCAAACTTTACCTGTCATTGAGTGGAGTTGAGGCTGCTATAGTTAAGTTTGCTAGAAGGAAAGGAGACGACCTTTGAAGGCAGACAATGGCTTCTCAATCCCTTGTTCAACATAGGTCTTCTAATGACTCTGCCCATGATCATGGAAATTGGACTAGAGAGAGGGTTCAGAACTGCTGTAGGCGATCTCATAATAATGCAGCTGCAGCTTGCACCCGTTTTCTTCACTTTTTCACTAGGTACAAAGATGCATTATTTTGGGCGCACTCTTCTTCATGGAGGAGCAAAGTATTAGGGGGGGGGGGGGGGGGGGGGGGGGGGGGGGGGGGGGGGGGGGGGGGGGGGGGGGGGGGGGGGGGGGGGGGGGGGGGGGGGGGGGGGGGGGTGGGGGGGGGGGGGGGGGGGGGTGGGGGGGGGGGGTGGGGGGGGGGGGGGGGTGGGGTGGGGGGGGGGTGGGGGGGGGGGGGGGGGGGTGGGGGGGGGGGGGTTGGGGGGGGGGGGGGGGGGGGGGGGGGGGGGGGGGGGGGGGGGGGGGGGGGGGGGGGGGGGGGGTGGGGGGGGGGGGGGGGGGGGGGGGGGGGGGGGGGTGGGGGGGGGGGGGGGGGGGGGTGGGGGGGGGGGGGGGGGGGGGGGGGGGGGGGGGGGGGGGGGGGGGGGGGGGGGGGGGGGGGGGGGGGGGGGGGGGGGGGGGGGGGGGGGGGGGGGGGGGGGGGGGGTGGGGGGGGGGGGGGGGGGGGGGTGGGGGGGGGGGGGGGGAGGGGGGGGGGGGGGGGGGGGGGGGGGGGGGGGGGGGGGGGGGGGGGGGGGGGGTGGGGGGGGGGGGGGGGGGGGGGGGGGGGGGGGGGGGGGGGGGGGGGGGGGGGGGGGGGGGGGGGGGGGGGGGGGGGGGGGGGGGGGGGGGGGGGGGGGGGGGGGGGGGGGGGGTGGGGGGGGGGGGGGGGGGGGGGGGGGGGGGGGGGGGGGGGGGGGGGGGGGGGGGGGGGGGGGGGGGGGTGGGGGGGGGGGGGGGGTGGGGGGGGGGGGGGGGGGGGTGGGCGGGGGGTGGGGGGGGGGGGGGGGGGGGGGGTGGGGGGGGGGGGGGGGGGGGGGTGGGGGGGGGGGGGGGGGGGGGGGGGGGGGGGGGGGGGGGGGGGGGGGGGGGGGTGGGGGGGGGGGGGGGGGGTGGGGTGGGGGGGGGG